AATATTTTCAATAAAATCATAGGAAAAAATTTCCCAATCTGAAGTAGATGCCTATAAAGGTACAAGAAGCATATAGAACACCAAATAGGTTGGACCAGAAAAGAAAGTCCCCTCACCACATAATACTAAAAAAACTAAGCATACGGAATGGTATAAAGAATATTTAAAACTACAAGGGAAAAAAAACCAAGTTACACAAAAGGCAAACCTATTAGAATTATGTCTGACGTCTCAATGGAGACTCTATTAGCCAGAACAGCTTGGACAGACTTGTTGCAGACTCAGAGACAACAGATGCCAGGTCAGAATACTATACCTAAAAAAACTTTCGATCACCATCTATGGAGGTGAATATGATATTCCTTGATAAAGTGAAATTTAAATACTATCTACATACCCAGCCCTATGGAAGATGCTAGATGGAAAAATCCAAACCAACAATGTTAACTATACCCATGAAACCACACTAAATAAAATAATTTCACATCAGCAAAACCAAAAGAAGAAGAGCACACACACACACACACACACACACACACCACCACCACCACCACCACCACCAACAACAACAACAACAACAAAATAACAGAAACTAGCAATCATTGGTCATTAAAATTTCTCAATATCAATGGTATTAATCCTCCAATAAAAAGACACCGACTAGAGAGCATACCAGCACCTGATTGGACTAAGAGGTGAGTCTCTATCCTCATACTTGAATACCCCAGCCCCTAGTCATTGGGCCCAGGGGCACAACCCTGTACCCCTACAACATCACCCATTGCAGTCCCAGTTTTAGGCCAGTCGGTAGACAAGTCAGACTACTACCATGCCCCACCAGACCCTGCAACCCAAAAGGCCCACCTCCCCAAATCCCAACCACACTCTGAGACTGCAACTCTTCCCTGAAACAGAGCCCACCAGCACCTGATTGGTCTAAGATGTGAGTCACTATCCTCATACCGAAATACCCCAGTCCCTAGGCTTTGGGCCCAGGGGCACAGCCCTGCACCCCTGCATCACCATCCATTGTAGTCTCAGTTTCAGGCCAGTCAGCAGGCAGCAGACAGGTCAGACTACCACCATCCCCCACCAGATCCTGTAACCCACAAGCCCCACTCCTCCCAACCCACCCATGCCAAGATTGCAGCTACTCCCTGAGACAGAGCCCAGGAGCAGCAATTGGACTAAGAGCTGTTCCCTGAGACAAAGTCCATCAGCACCAATTAGACCAAGAGCTCCCACTGGACCAAGAGTATCAATCAGATCAAGAGAGGCTCCCTCTGACACAGACACCGCTTACACCAAGTGAAGAAAGAGATGGGTAGACACCAGTGCAAAAATACAACTACATAAAAAAAACAAATATGGCTTCATCAGAACCTACATCAGCAAAACCTGAACATCCCAACACAGAAGAAACAGAAGAAATCAACCTTAAAAATGACCATAAGAAGATGATAGAGATCATTAAAGAGCAAATGAAAAATTCTGTTAAAGAATTCGAGGAAAAGTCAAACAAAAAATGGGAAGAAATCAGTAAATCCCTTAAAGAAAGCCAAGAGAAAGCAATTAAACAAGTATGGGAGACAGTTCAATATTTGAAAAATGAAATTGAGACAATAAAGAAGACATAAACTGAAGTAATGCTGGAAGTGGAAAATCTGAGTAAATGGACAGGAACTACAGATGCAAGCATAACCAACAGAATGCAAGAAATGCAAGAGCAGATTTCTGGCTTTGAAGATACAATAGAGGAAATAGATTCATCAGTCAAAGAAAACACTAAAGCCAATAACGTCATGACCAAAAATGTCCAGAAAATTTAGGACACCATGAAAAGACCAAAACTGAGAATAATAGAGATAGAAGAAAGAAAAGATTACCAACTCAAAGCCACAGAAAATATATTCAACAAAATCATAGAAGAAAACTTTCCCAACCTAATGTTTATAAAGATACAAGATGGTTACAGAACACCAAATAGACTGCATCCAAAAAAAAGTCCCCTTGCCACATAATAATCAAACCACTAAATATACAGAATAAAGAAAAATATTTATTAAGAGCTACAAGGGGAAAAGGCCAAGTAATATATAAAGGCAGACCCATACGAAAAACACCTGACTTCTCAATGGATACTCTAAAAGCCAAAAGGTCCTGGACAGATGTTATGCAGACACTAAGAGACCATGAATGCCAACCCAGACTATTATAACCAGCAAAACTTTCAATCAACATAGATAAAGTAAACAAAATATTCCATGATAAAACCACTTTAAACAATATCTCTCCACAAATCCAGCCTTACAAAAAGCACTAGAAGGAAAAATCCAACCTAAGGAAGTTAGATACACCCATTAAAACACAGGTAATAGATAGTCCCACACCAACAAATACCAAAGAAGGGAAACATACAACACTACCAACAAAAATTAACAGGAATTAACAATCACTGGCCATTAACATCCATTAATATCATTGGTCTCAATTCACCTATAAAAAGACACAGGCTAACAGAATGGATATGAAAACGAGATCCATCCTTCTGCTGCATGCAAGAAACACACCTCAACTTCAAAGACAGACACTATCTCAGAATAAAAGGCTGAGAAAAGACTTTCCAATCAAATGGATTTAAGAAGGAAGCTGGTGTAGCTGTCCCAATATCAAACAAAATAGACTTCAAACTAAAATCAATCAAAAGAGATCAGGAAGGACATTACATGTTTATCACAGGGAAAATCCAACAAGATGAAGTCTCAGTTCTGAATATATATGCCCCAAATACAAAGGCACCTACATTTGTAATAGAAACACTACTAAAGCTTAAATTGCACATCTACCCCATACACTAATAGTGGGAGATTTCAACACCCCACTCTCTCCCAAGGACATGTCTTCCAGACAGAACCTTAACAAAGAAATAAGGGACCTAACAGAAGTTATGGCTCAAATAGACTTAATATATATATACAGAATATTCCACCCTAACACAAAAGAATATACCTTCTTTTCAGCACCCCATAGAACCTTCTCCAAAATCGACCACATGTTTGGTCACATAGCAAATCTCAACAAACACAAAAAAATTGAAGTAGCTTCCTGTATCATATCAGACCACCATGGCTTAAAGTTAGATTTCAACAACAACAAAAGTTACAGAACGCCTACAATCTCATGGAAACTGAATAATGCCCTATTAAATCACAAATGGATCAAGGGAGAAATTAAAGATTTCCTAGAATTCAATGAAAAAAAATGTACAACATACCCAAACTTATGGGACACTATGAGAGCAGTACTAAGAGGAAAATGCATAGCTCTAAATCCCCACATAAAGAAGTTGAAGCAATCTCACCCTAGTGATTTATCAGCACAACTGAAAGCTCTAGAACAAGAAGAAGCAAACTCACCTAGGAAAAACAGACCCCAGGGAATAATCAAATTGAGAGCTGAAATCAATAAAATAGAAACAAAGAGAACAATACAAAGAATCAATGAAACAAAGAGTTCGTTCTTTGAGAAAATCAACAAGATAGACAAGCCCTTATCCAAATTAACCAAAAAGGAGAGAGAGCATCCAAATTAACAAAATCAGAAATGAAAAGGGAGACATAACAACAGACAATGAGGAAATCCAGAGAATTAAAAGGTCATACTTCAAAAACCTGTACTCGACAAAATTGGAAAATCTGAAAAAAAAAAATGGACCATTTTCTGGATAGGTACCACATACCAAAGTTAAATCAAGACCAGAAAAACTATTTAAATAGACCAATAACACCTAAGGAAATAGAAACAGTCATTAAAAGTCTCCCAACCAAAAAAAGCCCAGGACCACATGGTTTCAGCACAGAATTCTACCAGAGTTTCAAAAAAGAGCTAATACCAATGTTCTTAAAATTATTCCACACAATAGAAACAGAAGTAACATTACCAAACTCTTTTTATGAGGCTACAGTTACCCTGGTACTCAAACCACAAAAAAAAAAAAAATGCAGCAAAGAAAGAGAACTACAGACAAATCTCCCTCATGAACATTGATTCAAAAATACTCAATAAAATACTGACCAACCTAATCCAGAAACACATCAAAAAATTATCCACCATGACCAAGTAGGCTTCATCCCAGGCATGCAAGGATGGTTCAATATACAAAAATCTGCCAATATAATACACCATATAAACAAACTGAAAGAAAAAAAGAAACACATGATCATCTCATTAGATGTTGAAAAAGCCTTTGACAAAAATCCAAAACCACTTCATGATAAAAGTTCTAGAGAGATCAGGAATACAAGGAACATACCTAAACATAATAAAGGCAATTGACAGCAAGCTGAAAGCCAACATCAAATTAAATGGAGAGAAACCCGAAATGATTCCGCTAGAATCAGGAACAAGACAAGGCTGTCCACTCTTCCCAAACTTATTCAACACAGTACTTGAAGTTCTAGCTAGAGCACTAAGACAACAAAAGGAAATAATCAAGGGGATACAAATTCAAAAGAAAGAAGTCAAACTTTCACTATTTGCATATGTTATGATAGTAAACATAAGTGACCCCAAAAATTCTACCTGGGAACTCCTACAGCCGATAAACTCCTTCAGTAAGGTGGCAGGATACAAGATTAACTCAAAAAAATCAGTAGCTCTCCCATATACAAATGATAAATGGGCTGAGAAAGAAATCAGAGAAACATCACCCTTTACAATAGTCAGAAATAATATAAAATAATTTGTGGTAACCCTAACTAAGCAAGTGAAAGACCTGTATGATAAGAACATTAAGTCTCTGGAGTAAGAAATTGAAGAAGATATCAGGAAATGGAAACATTTCCCATGCTCATAGATAGGTAGAATTAACAAAGTAAAAATGGCAATCTTGGGCTGGAGAGATGGCTCAGAGTTTAAGAGCACTGGTTGTTCATCTAGAGGTCCTGAGTTCAATTCCCAGCAACCACGTGGTGGCTCACAATCATCTATAATGAGATCTGGTGCCCTCTTCTGGCCTGCAAGTGTATATGCAGACAGAACACTGTATACATAATAAATAAATAAATCTTTTTTAAAAAAAATGACAACCTTACCAAAAGCAATCTACAATTTCAATGCAATCCCCATCAAAATCCCAACACAATTCTTCACAGACCTGGAAGGAACAATACTTAACTTTATATGGAAAAACAAAAAACCTAGGATAGCTAAAATAATCCTGTATAATAAAGCAACCTCTGGAGGCATAATGATCCCTAACCTCAAGCTCTACTATAGAGCAATAGTAATAAAAACAGCTTGGTACTGGCATAAAAACCGACATGTGGACCAATGGAATTGAAGACCCTAACATTAATTCAAATACCTATGAACATATTTTTTTTTGACAAAGAAGCCAAAACTGTACAATGGAAAAAAAGAAAGCATCTTCAACAAATGGTGCTTGCATAACTGGATGTCAACATGTAGAAGATTGTAAATAGATCCATATCTGTTGCCATGCACAAAACTGAAGTCCAAGTGGATCAAAGACCTCAACATAAATCCAGTTACATTGAAATTGATAGAAGAGAAATAGGAAGTAGTCTGGAACGCATTAGCACAGGAGACCACTTCCTAAATATAACACCAGTAGCACAGACACTGAGAGCAACAATTAATAAATGGGACCTCTTGAAACTGAGCAGCTTTTGTAGAGCAAAGGACACTGTCAATAAGACCAAACGACAGCCTACAGAATCGGAAAAGATCTTCACCAACCCCACATCTGACAGAGGGCTGATCTCCAAAATATATAAAGAACTCAAAAAACTAGACATCAAAATACTGAACAATCCAATTAAAAAATGGGCTACAGAGCTTAACAGAGAATTCTCAACAGACTAATCTCAAATGGCTGAAAGGCATTTAAGGAATTGCTCAACATCCTTAGTCATCAGGGAAATGCAAATCAAAACAACTCTGAGATACCACCTTATGCCTGTCAGAATGGCTAAGATCAAAAACACTGAAGACAGCTTATGTTGGAGAGGATGTGGAGCAAGGGGAACACTCCTCCACTGTTGGTGAGAATGCAAACTTGTACAGCCACTCTGGAAATCAGTATGGCGGTTTCTCAGAAAACTGAGAATAAGCCTTCCTCAAGACCCAGTTATACCACTCTTGGGCATATACCCAAGGAATGTTCAGTCTTATCACAAGGACACATGCTCAGCTATGTTCATATCAGCATTATTCGTAATAGCCAGAACCTGGAAACAACCTAGATGCCCTTCAACTGAAGATAAAGAAAATATGGCACATATACACAATGGAGTATTACTCAGCAGTGAAAAACAATAATATCATGAAATATGCAGGCAAATGGATGGAACTAAAAAATATCATCCTGAGTGAGGTAACCCAGACTCAGAAGGACAAACATAGTATGTACTCACTCATAAGTGGATACTAGATGTGAGGGAAGGGATGGCCAGAATGCAACTCACAGCTCCAGAGAGGCTAGCTAACAGGTAAAGACCCTAGGAGGGACACATGAATGGCCCAGCGAAGGAGAAGTGGTTGGGATCTACATGAGCAGACTGGGAGTTGGGGTGGCAGAGGTGAGGAGTGGGGGATGAGAACATAGGAAAATGGGAGGGTCAAGCTGGAACAGGGACAAAGTGGAAGGGTCGGAAGGGAGATGCAGAGATCCATGGCCAGGTGCCAGGCTGAGCTCCAGGAATCCAATCAATGACAGAGAGGAGGGATTCTGCAGGCAGGGGCCATCAAGATCATGATGGGAAGAGTGCAGAGATGACCAGCCACAGTGGTGGAAGCCCATGAACTGTAGACTACTGGCTGTGGAGCCCCCATAGGACTGGACTAGGCCCTCTGGTTATGGAAGATGGTTGTTTGGCTCAAACTGTTTGGGGGGCACCCAGGCAGGGGGATCGGGATCCATCCCTGGTGCATGGGCAGGCTTTTGGATTATGGTGCCTGTGGTGTGATGCCTTTCATAACCTTGGTACAGTGGGTTGGGCTTGGACCTGCCTAGGCTCAGTGTGCTGGTCTCTGATGACTCCTCATGGGAGACCTTGATTTGGAGGATGTGGAGATGTGGGGTGGCTTAGGAGGGAAGGCTGGGGGGTGGGAGGAGGGAAGAGATGGAATCTGTGGGTGTTAAGTAGAGCGAGTAGAAAATTTCTCAATAAAGAAATGTGGAAAAAAAGGCACCAACTAAAAGGATGGATGTGAAAATGGGATCCCTCCATTTTCTGAATACACAAAATATATATCAACAACAAAGATAGACATTACCTCAGGGTAAAGGGTTGGAAAAAGATATTCCTAGAAAATGGACCTAAAAAGCAAACTAGTGTAGCCATTGTAATATTTAATGAAGTACATTTCAAACTAAAAATAATCATAAGACATACAGAAGGACACTTCATACTCATCAAAGGAAAAATCCACCAAGATGATGTTTGAATTCTTAACCATCTATGCTCCAAACACAAGGGCACCCACTTTTGTAAAAGAAACACTACTACAGCTTAAATAGTATATTGACCCTAACAAACTGATAGTGGGAGATTTCAATACCGAACTCTGACCAATGGACAGGCCTTCCAGTCAAAATTTAACAAAGAAATGCTAGAGCTAACTGACATTACAAACCAAATGAATCTAACAAATATTTAAAGAACATTACACAAAAACAAAAAAATAATATGCCTTCTTCTTAGAACCATGAGTAACTTTCTCCAAAATTAACCACATACTTGGACACAAAGCAAGTCTCAACAGATACAAGAAAACTGAAATAACCCCCTGCACTCTATCAGACTGCTGTAGATTAAAGCTCCCAGAGCTAGGGGTAAATGTACCTCCACCATGTTGAGAAACCAAATGGGGTGGAGTCAACAGTCAAAGCCACCATGCAGCTTTGCAGTTTAAAATCTCTTCTGGTTAGAAATGGATTATAGACACACAATAATACAGATTGAAATGGAATAAACCTCTGAACAGTTTACAGTATGTGTAAAAATGTACACAGGCTTGGAAAAGAGAGGAAAATGAGTATGGACAGTTATATAAAATAGATGGTTTTAAAAAATAAAGTCTTTAAAGGGACAGTAAAAGTAATATAAAAGAAAATACATGTAAAGATGGAAAATACACAGAAAGCCTCAATTATGAATATTGTGTTTTCTTTAAATTTTTTCACAGTTAATGAGCTAACTGCAGAAAGACATTTGATTGTAAAGGCTGCTTAGTTAAACTAATATATATATGGTGTCTTGACTTCAAAATTGGGGCTAAGAATATGTTGCTTTGGCAAGGAGTCTCTGCTTATGTTTCCACAAGAAACAAGGGACTGTGAACTTGTTCCAGGTTAAAATGGATCAGATTTGATCAATTGAGACCTTCTGAATCTTAAAGGATGGTATCTATCAACAAAGGTGATAGCTTGTCTTTCCAGGACTTGGCCATTTTATCAAATTTTATTAGGATCCCCATAAGATTGCCAGCACCACCAATCTGCAGGAAGTGGTATGAGAAGCTATGCCCAAATTCCCAAAATATTGTTTATAAATGTTTATTTTTATTTAAATGGGGTTAATTATAAAGGTAATCTCTTCCTAAAAAAAGAAAGGGGGATATAGATATGATAGGTTGAAATGGTAGATTATTAAATCTACTTTTAAAGAGCAACAACTTGTTTGAAATGTTTTATACTGCTATAGATTTTAGTTTATTGATACAAATTTAAAGTTAATTTTTATACTATATATATGTTTCTCTTCTTTAAGGTGTTATGTTTATGCAACTCATTTAAAATTATAGTGTATAATTAAAAATACAGATTAAAAATTAGTCATCTATGATAATCAACCTTACAATCATGTTAAAACTGCCCTTGCCTGGACTGCTTGGCAGAATGCTGTATAAACTAGACACGTAGGACCCATAGGAAAATGACTACTAAACTTTGCCTAAACAGAATGAGATGGTCCTTCAGGTTCCTGCTTCCTGCCAGACATTCTTCAGCACACAGAGGAAACCGACTGATGAACTTTGCTAATAGGTGGTAGAATCCTTCAAATTTCCTGCTTCACAAAAAAGTCTGACAGAGACTCTAGACCTATAGGCTGAAGATGGATGCCCCAATGTTGCAGAAGAACTTTATGTGACTGCCCAGGCAAGCAGATGTCTCTATCGTTTCTAGAATTTTGAAAGTTGCTTACAATGCATTTTCTATTTACTTAGATAATATTATATCCTTCTGAGGTCTTTGATGGATTTGAAGACTAGATAGTTATAATTATAGTTTTCCTTAGTTATGATAAAAGGTAAATCACATATAAAACTTTAGACTCACAAGTATAGGATAGATGATATAATATTTTCTTTAATTTTACCAAAAAAAATAGACTAGGTATTGTAACTGTAATTCTTGCTTGATAACTGTTTTGTTATATATAATTTTACTATATTAAAGTTAAAAGCTTCCTTTTTGATTAGACAGAAAAGGGGAAGTGCTGTGGAATGTCTTTCTGTACAATATGAATATGTGTTGTTCTCACTGGTTGATAAATAAAGCTGCTTGGCCAATGGCAATGCAGAATAAGGTTAGGCAGTATATTCAGACTGAAGGTAGAGATGAAGAAGAGTGAAGTGAGGGAGACATGAGTCTGCCACCTAAGGAGAAATAAGATGCCAGCCGACTGGTAATGGCATGGCCACATGGCAACATACAGATTAATAGAAATGGGTTAATTTAAGATGGAAGAGCTAGCTAGCAAGAAGCATGAGTCATAGGCCATACAGTCTGCAATTAATATAAGCCTCTGTGTGTTTACTTGGGACCAAGCAGATGTAGGACTGGGTGGGACACAGGAAAACTTCAGTCTACAGCTGGATGTCAACAAAACAGAAAAACAGAAAGCTTATAAACTCATGGAAACTGAATAACTCTCTATTGAATGAAAAATGGGTCAAGACAGAAAAAATGAAATTATACACTATCTAGAATTCAATGAAAATGAATACACAACAAA